CAGAACACCTATAAAAAATTATTTTATAAAACGCTTAATATTTCGAGAATGTTCCATAATGAGCATATTGTTTTTTAATTTCTTGTTTCTCATAGAAAACTATTTCGGAGCATTGTAGAACCAGAATCAAATGAAGATTATTACATATCATGTTTAGAAGATTACAGCATGTTATCTATTGAGAATATTCGTCGAACTGGTTAGATAGTTCAACGTGTACGTCGAGAAAGGTCGCTAATGAACGTAAAAACGTGCAAATCGGTATGTCGATGTAGAGTGTAGAGTGTAGGGTGTAGGTGCTAGGACTGACCTGTCATTTTGGAGTAGAGAATGGCTTCGCTTTCAGGTTATGTGTCGCATTGAGAACGCCCAGTGACATTTCTACCGTTTCATCTCGTAAAATTTCAAGCTCGTCCGATTCAATATGACCTATTTGAACCAACCGGATTACGTGCGCTATTTGTGCAACTGCGGTTCCTTAAAGCCCATATCGAAGATATATTTTTGCCGACATTGCTTGATGATACGATGTGGCTATTGTGTCTGTCAGGAGGTGCGTTTTTTTTTTAATGTATAAAATATAAATTCGAACAGAAAGATACAATCGGAAATATGTTTAATAATTGAATTCACACGAGACGTATTCTAAAGTGTGCAAAGCTTTTGTTCTTATTTTAAAACAATGTCTCTCTTGTGTTTAGGTGGACTCCCATTACTGTCCCAATTGTATGGAGAATTTGCCCTCATCGGAAGTACGTCTTAAAAAGAACAAGTATGTTCACATATTTTGAACTTCCATAGAGATCACGAATTCAGTTATTATTGAACGATGATTTATTGACAGATGTTCCAATTGCTTCGACTGTCCGTGCTGTTTTCAAACGTTATCTACAAGAGCGGGAATAGCACCTATGCGAGCAACAGCATCAACTGATGGAGAAGAGAACAAGGATGTTAAAGCCACTCCCAAAAAAGTATATTATCTATTTTGTTCACTGTGCCGATGGAGCTCTCGAGATGCAGGGATACCTGACCAATCCGTAGGTAAGAAGGTTTCATTATTGAATAATTTTATAATTGAGAGTCATGGGTGTGTAGAGAACATTTTCTTAAAATTATGTTTTGAATTTCTGCTTGTAGCAACTGGGGGATGGCCCGAGCAGGAAAATCCACATGTAACACGCATCAACGCTCTTATCGATTACCACAAGGTATTAGCCTCTATAGAGAAACAGCAATGTGAAAGGAAGAAATTTCATCCAAAACGCTCCTTCATGCCAGCTGTGAGTTTAGCAAGAACTAATTATTCGTTCGCTTAAAAAGAATTATTTTTTTTAACTATTATTGCTTTGCCAATAGCAGACAATGTACAGTTTTACATCGGCGCTGGTTCGCAAACGTATTGGACGTCCCATGAAACCACCACTGCAATCTCAATCGTCTGCTCAGCCAGTACCATCCGTTGCACGTGAGGAAGTGGACGAATTGCCGAGCGATATATTTACAGAATCTGTGGATATAACTAAAGGTATAAGAGGAGGTTCGACTGGCATGAGAATTAGCATCGATGTAGATTTTGTTTTAAACATGTAAATTTTGTGTAACAGTTACCACGTTGGAGCAAAGATTGCAGCATCCAGAGGTGCAACCTGAGAAAATAAACGAATTGCGTCCTCAGCACAGACAGTTCTTAGTCAAAAGATCGCAACGTTGCAGAGTGTGCGAGCATAATGTTAGCAAATCTGATCTTTGTCCTCAGTCGACAAAATTCAAGATTTTACTGGCTGCGTTGTAAGTGTTACGTTAAGAAATCAATTATTATTAATCACGATACATAGAATAATTTGATTGCATAGAAGAATTTGATTTATATCGTATTCTTAGACATATGATAATCAGAGAATTGCATTTTTGTAGTTATCACATCCCCGAAGTCAAGATCGTGACCTGCGAACCACTTCGACCGGGGAAATCGAGTGAACTGCTTCTAAAATTCTGCAATCCAACACAGCATCAAACTCAAATAACTATATTGCCGTTAGATACCTCGTTATCTACTTCGCTTACTGACGAAAAAGACGTTAAACAAGAGGATACGCAAGTAATATTATACGCAAGCAAAATACAATTTTGTGATAAACTGTAACATATTTTAATAATTTGATTGTAATTACAGGGGAGTGAATCTCCAAATTTATTGCCGTCTACCGTGCGACAGGCGCCTGTAACAGAAGATCCTAAGTCAATAAAAGTTGTACCAAATGCGGATTTGATGATGCCTCACAGTTCGTTAATTCTGCCACCAAGGGACGATGCTGCTGAATACGATGACACGAGTGACAATCACAATTTTCAAGATGATCCAAAGTATGTATATATAGAATATAAAAATTATGCAAAATGAATACGAAAGTAATATAGATTTCATCAATATTCATTTATACAATTTTTTTTTAAGGCTTGTAGTATGGCGAAAAGGGAATAAAGCTGTGATACGTTTGCACGTAACTCCGCACGGTACTAATAAAGATAATGAAGATCCAGTTATAGTTGGATTTGTCATGCAACATGGATACGTAAATACCATTGCGGCGCTGGAACACAAATCGCCTCAAAAAGTAGATGTAAAGATCAAGCTCTATCTCACTGTTGGTCAGCTAGTTGGCGAAACATAATCTTTTTCGATTTAATCACAAAATAGAGTACTCTATGTGATGAATGCTATATAGTTTTTCAATAGTCGATTAAATTGAATATCAAGGATATCAAATATTTATGCATCAATATATTATTTTAAAGTATTAAGCTTGATAGATTAATAATATATTCATTGACACTAAACACATAAAATGTAATGCTCTTAATTTACCTAATGTTCTATATTATTGTAATTAAAAAAGAAAAAAATCAATTATATTAAGAATGCTTAATATTTGTTATAATTCATATATATAAGTCTATTATGAAATATTCTTTTAGGGATATTGTAGTAAATAAAAAGAGTATAAATTATACTTTTTATGTTCTCTGTATAAAAATTTGAATAAAAGTTGTATCTCACAGAAATGCAAACGTTTCCTTTTCTTTAAATATTTATTGAAAGATAAACCAGATAGATAGCCATAAGAATAGCTTATAGCCTTCGTCCACGGCGACCTCCCTTCCTGCGAGTAGAGTCTGATGGAATAGGGGTTACATCTTCAATACGTCCGATCTTCATGCTCGAACGGGCCAAAGCGCGCAGAGCAGATTGCGCACCTGGGCCAGGAGTCTTCGTCTTATTGCCTCCCGTAGCTCTCAGTTTGATGTGCAGTGCTGTGATGCCCAATGATTTACATTTTTCTGCAACATCCTACAAAACGAAAAGTTTGTCATTACAATCAAAATATTTTGATATTGCCTACGAAATACTTAATAATTTATAAATATGTTTGTTTTCTTTCTTTAATAAAGAGCACGATGTAAGCACATGTCTCCATTTATAAAAAAAGAATTTATTTTTCCACAAACATGAACGCTCCTCAGATTACATTGATTTATCGTCTAGGTGCTGCCTGGATGTGGATAGTGGCTGCGTTCCGTACTTACGCTTTTGGCGCTCACAACGTTCGCGGAATCATTTAATTCTTATCAAATGTTAAACAAGGGCAAATCGTGCTAACAGCGCATGAGCGTTAACATGGAACGCAGCCAATTTGTGTAACAATTCAACTAATCCAAATGTAATAATTAAATCAAACAACATACCTGGGCTGCAAGCATAGCTGCGTAGGGCGAGGCCTCATCACGATCCGCCTTTACTTTCATACCGCCAGTGACTCGAGCGATTGTCTCTCTACAAACGCAGACACGCAATTTTATACGTCAATGTTGTGGTGTATTTAATACTTACAGGATTAGATATATCAATCTAACGGAGTACAAACCTGCCGGACAAATCGGTAACGTGGACGAATGTGTCATTGAAGCTGGCGAAAATGTGAGCCACTCCGAAGACGACCTCTCCCTCGCGAAGCTGAGGCCCGAGAGAGACCTGCACCTCTTCCTTCTGAACCTTTCCCCTTTTTGGCGGCATTTCTGAAGAAACAGCGAGTATCTTCGATTATTATTTTGCAATTCGGTCATCTGCTACTATCCTTATAATATTCGCGTAAACATTTCTTTTAAGGAAAACTTTAAGGTTATGTTACGATGCGCGGAGAAGGTATGCAATCAATACGTGAAAATTCATCCAGCCACATCCACGTGTGCTGCTAAATACAAAGCAATTTCGCAGCTGGGCTTTACTTATAAGTACTCAATTAACGAATTTAACCAAATATTTTTGCTAGATAAACAACACTTGTCGCCAAATTACCTGCAAATTTTATCGACTACAAGCCTGCCGTTTCAATACGATTCACACAGGAATCATGGAAAGATTGGAAAGAGCGACTTGCTTCCGGTGGCGCAACTGGCGCAACTCCCTTGACCGTCATGCGCACGATAATAGGGAATTTTAGCTGCGTCCACATAGCGCGTTTCGATTCTTGAATAATGAATTACGTACATAACCTGCATGTCCGTAAATATTTTCCACACAGGCAATTGAGACAATACATTTTGCGCTCGTCCACGGTTTTGGATTTTGTTCCATACAAGTGCCTTGAAATGATATCCTGTGAGAGATAAAAAATTAAAGAACAAAATATATGCTATATTATAATTATAGAATATATACGTCTTTTGTATCATTACGAACAAGGTACCATGAAAATTTCGAGATTATTTTCATAAAGAAATTAGGTATGTTATCGATGTTACTAATATTCAGCAAAATTAATTTGTTATAATAAATAGACACGTGGCCAAAGTAATTAAACTACGTTAATATAGCATGCATACTCCAGCACTAAAATGCAGAAGTATAATACACTGTTTTGCAAAAACTAAATTTTTCAAGCTAAACTTATATTTACTACAAATTTTGCAAAAATTATAGTCAATGTTATTTCCTCACATGATAATGTCATTCATTTCAGCAGTTTTGCTCTGACATTTATTTTTTTATTGTCAGTTCGATTGTCATAGCAGAGAGAAGCATCTCTGGTCATAGAGATAATCATTGTGAACATGGCATTTTTATGTTCACTCATTACTGCTGAATTTTATTGCTGTTGAGATCTTGACCACTATAAATAGTGTGCTTTACATTTAAATGTGGTACATTTAAATGTAAAAGCTAAGTTCCTGGTTAAATTTAATAATAATATTATTGAATTTAATAGTATATCATTATAAATATCAATTTAAATTTAAATATGTAAGACTGTTTTATACAATTTTCATAAGAGTATGTTAAATCAATTGTTTGTGCATAAGATTTATACAATTAAGATACAAAAGGTGCTATACATGTAGCCATCAAGTGACTGAAGTTTTTAGAACATATATTATTATTTATTGTAGTATATGTTCTAAGCTGAAGTCGTAACTAATAAATTCGCACAATTACAATTATATGTGTTACAATTAATTGTGTGTTAATTCTAGTGTTACATATATTTGATATGATGTAGAAACTTAATTGAGATTACGCTCATTGTCAGTAAAATAAAGATTTGTGAACAAATTTATACGTTATAAATACAGTTATATTATATAAAAATTTATAAATTTTACAAAAGTCAATATTTCATAATAATTAACGTTATTTTCTCACTCGAAGTAAATATTATAATATTGTCATCCTTTCAAATCATTTTGGCTGAATTCAATTAGACAAGGCGAAATACTTGTAACGGTTTAAAAAAAATCAACACACGAACTTTTACATGTTTTCATGCTTATAAATTTAAAGTTTAAGCCGCACATCAAAATTAAATTTTCGATGGAAAATAGATTGTCGGAAAGTATTTACAATTCTTTAATACAATTCATACTAATACGATTGCTATTGAAACATGTCATATTTTTAATTTGTTAAAATAATAGATTTTGACACAAGGAAATTGAAAATGACGAAATGTTATTTCTCAAGGAATATATAACTCAAGGAATTGAATTATAACTGCTTCTCAAAAATTTTTTAGAAAATAATTATTGTGGATATTAAGACAATACTTAATTCTTATTTTATTTATAAGAATTCCGCGATAGATTTGAAAAATAATTTCTTGTCATAAACATACTTCCAATAAATTCGTAAATAAAATTGGTATTTTGAGTCTAGTGCATCCTGATGAACTGATACAGAATAAAGTGCAATGGGTATACGGAATTAAATTCGTAAATTTTATTTTTTAATATATTGAGTATTCGATTTAAAAAAAATTATTAATGTGTATTGAAAAATAAAATTTGTTTTGATTTAAAAAATGAAGTATTTGCATATGTAAATTAATTTATTAATATTGGTTTGTCCAATATTTTTATCTAACAATAAGAAGAATAAAATAAATTTACGACGTAATTTATGAACTTAATCATACATTTTCAGTGCTTAAAAAAAATGGAAAAAATAAATTAATTTCCGTAAATTCTTTTTTGAAGGAAGACGAATGTTCCTCGACATATTTTGTATTGCGTAAGGATCAATATAGGATCAATATGCAATACAAAAAGATCATCTGTAGTATCATCACATCCGGGAATAGAAATAATTATATAAATCTTAATTCTTTTGAAATGTGTTAAAAAATTTTAAATCACAAATCCGACTTTTCACATGAGCGTTTTTATAAAAAATACCTTTGTATTACATTTAAAGCAATACGCAATTGCTTGCAATTAAATACTTTATTTAGATTTATAATTTAAAAACTATTAATAGATACGAATTCGTCCATTCTCAAGAATCGATTATTGAATTGCGAGAATAACTTACGACTAAATATGTCTCAAGGCAAATTTTATTTAAATATCCTTCAGTAAATCGTGATTACAAATCATCTTTTTAGGTTTAAATTCTTATAATATATATATATATATAACTATTGTAATTTTTAGCCTTTATTTTTATAAAAAAAACTAATAAAAAAAACTCAATTACATTCTATGGATATATGTACCACGGAATAAAACCAAATAATATATATAACGAACGAAATAAAATAAAAAAATCATGGTTATTTCCGCTGGAAACATCCATGGCTATGATAGTTCGATGTGCATATTTTTTGCACGTAGAAATGTTGATGGCTGTGACCACTTAAACAATGTACTTATACAAAATAATATGTTCTTACATATTATACAATGTTTGCTCTTATGTATGTATAGCTTCTCAAATATTTAATAATCAATCGGAATCACTTATAATAATTGCCTGAGCTCTCTTCGACTGCGCACTTCTGGAATTCTGTTTGAAAATAGATGGTACTCATTAAATACTTAAATTAACATATTTTAGTGACAAATATTTTTAGACTATCGCTCATACCTGCGTTTTCGCAATGGAATCATTTGTTTCATTAGCTCTTCCTCTACCACGACTTCCTCTAGGTCCTCTGGATCCTCGACCGCCTCTAGAACCTCTACCTCTTCCTCTAGTTTTAGCCGATGTTGAACTTAAATCTTCATCACTGTCACTACTGTCAATTGTTGCATCGAGATTGCTTATCGGCAAGCAAGTTTGCTTCAGAGCTCTCGAACCGCCCTTTTGCGGCGACCTATTTAATACGTCCACAACCTGCAAAAAATGTATATTGGTAAAAATATTATATACATATATAAATAAATGTCATATACTAGTTATATCATTACATTATTCTGATCCTCCTCTTCTTCTGAAAGCCTTTTGTTGTGGAAATTCTTAATTTCTTCACGAATATCTTCTGATGTTTCAGTATTTTGCTCTCGTACATATTCAATGGTTTTTTTCATTTGATATCTAACAAATAAAACCATAGAACGATTTAGATAAGATGCGAAATGTAATTCTCGACCATTTGACGTATTCGAGAAAATAATTACACTAATTACCTTACGATAGTGTTAAAGGCGTCTATCTCGCTTCTATCAACAAATCGATTTAAGGCTTCATTCATTGCTGTTACAGTCAAGACTGTTAACTTGTCTTTATTCTCTTCCTTATCAAAATACTTTTTAATTCCTCCTTGCACCGTGCTAGTCCAATCCTCTCCTAACTACAAAAAGAAAAAGTTCAGACAACGTTAAAAATAATATAAAATAAAATCAATTTAATAAAGAAAACTATGTGCTTACATCTCCCTGGAATAATTCTGTAATATCATCCATATCATCATCAATTTCATCATGAATACCACGTTTTCCTTTCTCTAGGAGCCTCCTTTTACGAAATATAATCATGTCCATTGGATTAGCAACTTCATCACAGTACTTTTGCGCCAAACTAAAAGCATTTTTTTTTTCTTTGAGGTTGGGTTAAATAAAAAGTAAAATATATGTATAATTTAGAATTATTACAATAATATTAGAATAATGTAGCATTTTCGAACCTTATTGTATCAAATTGTTCACTGTCATCATCATAAAATATTCTTAATCGAATTAAAGGCTGGATTGGTTGATCAGGATATTCTAAAATGAATTTGATTTTACATATGAAATGAAAATGTCATTCAAGAAATATATAGTAAAATTAAAGTGATTGACGTACCTGTGAGTTGTGTAGCAACTCTAGGCATGAGCTCATTTTCGATATATTGATCTACATAGTTACTAATAGAATCTGCTAATGAGACGTAACCTCTTACTTTAATGTCATGATCTTTGATAATCATGTTATCAAAAACATAGGGTCGGACGCTTTTCAATTTTAAATTTTTCATTTTGAAATTACTTTTATTTATTTTAAGGAGACCCACGTGCTTAGGTTTCGATTCACTTTCGCATAAAGAAGTAACAATGGAGCTTCCTAAAATCAGTCCAACAAAAGTATTCAAAAAAATAAATTCTTAAATAATATTCACATTGTTATGTCATAAAGAAAAATGTATAGTTTTACCTGGCTGAGATATATAATATCCACCTGAATTAGGTTCAGGGGTAATACGACATTCATGTTCATGACCCCAAATAACTAAATTAAGGAATTTATGCAGTTTATCATCCGGAATGTGAGCATAATTGGTATGTCTGGCACGATTCTGATGTAAAACAAATATATTGAAAGTATCCATGTCCTTTGGACGTAACAAATCCACCTATTTTCAAAAGTTGTACTAATTATTATTCCGTAATCACAGATAAAAGAAATATGCATCAAATAAATGTACCTTATCATCCCTATACAATCTCGATAACCTTTGGTCGTTAATGTAACTCATACCATAAAGCGCAACATGGGTATTACGTTTCTTCAAAATTATAGGAGATACAACTATGCGATTCAGATCTGTCCATTTTCCAAAGTAATTCACAAGTCCAGTAGCTGACAGTATATCTATTGATCCGACAGTACCAAAACCTAACAGACAACAAATAGAATATAATTCACAGTTAGAGGAAAAAGAAAAGTTGGAATCCAAAGGAAAAAAAAAGATTACATACTTGGATCATCGTGATTTCCATGGATAGTAAATATCGGCATCGAGACATTCAAATTTGGATCTTCATAATTGACATGTTTCTGTGCGCAGTGTCGGAACACCTGTTCTGAATCACTCAAGAACTCTAGCTTGCATTCTCTAAAAATACAATAAAGCCGCTCAAGTTCTCGATAAAAATATCGCTTACATAATCTAATGTCAATCTAAATATAAACTTACCTAGTGCCCAAACAATATTTCCGCAGTAATTCTACACACTTGAGTAACGCAGTTTGCGTTGGCTTAGTGTCGTGAAACAGATCACCGCCCAGCAGAATGAAATCTACCTCGTTTTCTTTGCCATACTTCAGTATTTCTTCGAACGTTACGAAACTCTCATTCGAGACTTGTCCACCTGTCGAGCGAAATAAATTATATTAATTGGGAATACTGATCTTCAATTTTATACGCATGCCATCTCACGTCTCTTTTTTCTCTATTTACAGCAGTCTTGTTGAAAAATACTGTCGTGAAAACAAACCTCTCTTTTTATTGTAATCGAAACCAAGATGAATATCCGTAGCTACTAAGATATTGATAGTATCCTCCGGATCGTGTGTGCTGGAGGATTCCGACATTTTTCGTGCTTGTTGTATCAAATAACACGTGATAATTAATATTCTAATGTTACTTTACACATAGCGGTTAACATGTGAAATAACCAAAGAGATTATACAGAAATAACTGACAATTGAAAAGGCGCGAATGCAAATGCACGAACTGTGGTAGCAAAAATGTAAAGATCGGACCCACCAGGACACCCATTGGTCTGTTTGTTTCCCTTGCACTTTCTGCACTCGAGTGCTCTATCTCACTCTTTCTCTTTCTCTAATGCTATCTAGTTTTGATGCAAAGAGAGCAACATCGGACTAAAGATTAATAAAATTTTAAACAAAAAATTATTTATTTCGAACAAGGCAAAGCTTAACAGATGATCCGACGCAACCGTAAATTCGCGCCACTCTACGAACCCGGAAACGAAGACGGCCGAGGATGGCCGAGCGACGTAGAAGAGTGGGAGAGAGGTGCGCGCTGCGCCATCTGACGATCCATCGGCAGTCGCACTCGCAGCAGGGAGCGCGCAGGAGGTGGTCCGCCATAGCGCCATATTTGTTGTTGTCGTCGATGGGGGTAGGCCAGTCCCGAGTTTTCTCGGACTCGGCTCGTTGACGGCTGTCGCGGTAACGGTCGGCGGCGGTCACCGGGACGCGGGCGCGAGGCGGCCTGTGCGTGACGCGACGTGCGGAGTCGCGAAAATCACGGGGGACGATTCGATTCTTCGCGCGCGCGCGTGCGGGGTGCGTGCGCGTGTGAGGGTGTGTGCGTGTGTGTGTTGTGTGTGCGCGCGTGTAGTTTGCAGCGGGAGGGGGGGAGGAGAGTAAGCAAGTACGTGCGTGCGTGTGCGTGCGTGTGCGCGCACGCCGGAGCGCGCGCGCGCGCTCTCGGCGACGTCCCTTTAGCCCGCACGACGAGAGGAAACATCGATGGGGCGCCTTGACGGCTCAGCTGTCCTGCTCTGCGCCGAGTGCGCCGTCGTGCGTGTGTGCGCGTGCAGCACGCGCGTTTGTGTACTACCGCCGCTCGCGTCACACTCACGCTGGTCACGCACGGTCCGCTCGACGATGCCCCGTTAGCGTCGCGACGTTTTACTACTCTGGTGGACTACCGGGCGCAAGATTACGTGAGGGGTTGCCACGACGAGAGCGCTTCGACATTCCGGACCTCCGGACGCAGATTTCGCGCGGGGTTGGAGGTAGGTGCAGAAGACGAAGCTATACACGGGAGTGTTTGCGGGTCTCGCGCTCGCGCATTCGCTCGCGTGTCCGCGCGTGTGCGCGTATGCGTGCGCGCGAATACGTGTCCGATTCACATCCCACGAATACGTGTATTCGTGTGTGCGGCGAGTAGCCCCGAGAATTTTGGCTGGGTTTGTAGGTGTAAGAAAGAAAGAGAGAGAATGAGCGAGCGTGCGTCAGAGAGGGGGCAGGAGGGGTTGCTGTGTCGTGCATGGGATCGGGGTCGTTGTACGTTCTTGACGCGGGGTCTGTTGACCCTGGCCAAGGTCCCTCGCGGTTCATGGCTACATTGCCGATGTGCATACGCGCGATTCCTCTCGCGCGTCTCCCTCGCGCCCGATCGCGGACGTACGTACGTCAATCGCCTTAACCTAGTCCAACGACTCATCGCTTGACTCACGCTCGACTATACGAGCGGACGAGAGCGCGCGATCGACGGCGGCGGCAGCGGCGGCGTCTCCTCCGCAGGCGCTCGCTCCTTCGCGATTCGTGGCGATTCGCGGCGAGACGAGCGTGCTATAAATTTCCACGCGACGAGACGAGGCGCCCCGCGTGTCGCGGGTTGAAAAATCAATACCGCGTCTCTGTGAGGTGACGCGAATCAGCTGTTCCCTGTTTTACTCCGGGCCCGCGAGACGAAGCTCCGGCGGCGGCGGCGGCGGCGTTCATGCGGCGCGCGTGTTTCTCATACGCGCGCGCGAGAGAGACGATGGCGTAGGTTTTGCGAAAAACTTGTTGATTTCCTTACATTCGAGACGTTGTCCCGGCTAGTATTATCTCGTACCGGGCGTAACGTACGGCCGTTGCTAGCTTTTCGCGCTCGTCCAGAAGGAATCGGCTCCGTGAAAACAATAACCGACCGTCCGTTGGCGCGAGCTCTCGAGGAATCTTCGGGAAGATTAAAAATTACTTTCGACTTGTTGATTTCCGTGACCTTATTTCCCCCCGCCTGTATTTCGGTCAAATATAATGGACATCGTTGACCTTTCGTGCTCTGAACTTCGCTTAGATGGAAACGCTTCGAGAAAACAAGCCGACCGTCCGTTGCGCGAATAGCCGAGCTTCGCGAGAACTCAAAATTATTACTTTCGACTTGTTGATTTCCATGACCTTATTTTGGCCAAATATAACGGACGATCATCAACATCGTTGGCCTTTCGCGTTCCGACCTTCGATCAGATGGGGTCGCTCCGAAAAATGAATCTATCATCCGTTCCAAGTACTTGAGCTTCGTGATTAAAAATTGCTTTGGAATTCTCTCACTCGAGAGTGTATTTTCAATTATTCGTAATGCTTCGTGAACATAAATTTTATTTTGTTCTAACAATATATTTTATATGTATTTGTACTTCACATATATTTTCATTGTTAAAAATATATATGAAGTATGTTGTAATCGACTCTCCTTTCTTACTCCTTTGTTTCGATTTTACTCATAATTTATGAGAAAAAGATAATCGCGATGGGGAAAAAGGTAGAAACGAGATCTAATCTGATATTAGAGCAACGTTTTTCAAACTCATTCGGTAGCATCAAGAGACACATTTCCGTGGGGGAAATCACTTGGGAAAATAATAGCCGTGTTATACAAATGGAATTATTTCCAGAAATAGAAATAATTATCGATTCACGATGGAACTCGAAGGGGGCATTGAATGTTCTCCTTCAACGATCTTCATGTTTAGTTTTGGGGAACGTTGCGCGTGTATGTGTGAGTGACTGTGCGAATTATTGATAACGGAGAGAGTCGCAGTAAGAGACTGGTACTAAACGTGGCTTTTTCTCTCGGATGCAGGTCTTCCGGAACGCGGTGCTGGAGTCTACGCTGCTACGCGATCATCCAGGCGGGATTCGGCGTGGCGACCACGGTGGCAGGTAACCGTCGAGGACGCGCTCGTAGTTTCGCGTGTGCTGATTCGCACGGCAATTAAAACTGGCGGGCAACCTGGCTCGGTCCTCCGGCAGCGGTGGCGGCGGCGGCGGCGGTGGCGGTCGAACCGGCGGCAGAACTGGCGGTAGTGGTAACAGTGGTACCGCTGGCGGTGGCGGCGGCGGCGGTGGCGGCGGCGGCGGCGGCGGTGGCGGAAGCGGCGGCGGCGGTGGTGGTGGTGGTGGCGGAGGTTCGAGAAACGCGGGGGCAGCTGCAGGAGCCGCCGCTGAACCCGGGATCGTCGCAGATGAGGCCGCTGGTGGACCTGGACACATAATTGAATGGGAGGAAAATGATCGCTTTTCTTTCGACGATTCCGACCGCTTCGAGGAAGATTCCTTATGTAGCTTCAGCAGCGAACCCGAGTCGCTTTGTAACAACTGGCGAGGATGGAGACGACTTCCGCCAACGTTTGGGTTGTCCAAGAAGTCCTGCGAGGGTAAGCAGCTCTTTCGTCTTTTCCATCGTACTGGAAAATGTCTGTATCCAACGTTTCAGCAATTTTGAAGAAACGGTTGTTAAAGTTTCTGAGATTAAAACAGCATAACAGCTCGGTTTCTTGACGATAAGATTAGTCTAATTATGTTAAATTATGAATCTCATGCTCTTTCAATTTCCCTAAATAATACAAACTTGGTTTTTTTACTTTCGAAATCATTCATAATATAAACCTTAGATACAGATTTTCTTCTTACAATTTGTATGTTGACCGTTTAATTGCTAAATTGCCATCCTTATACGTAATTGAGATTAGATTGAAATTAGTTTTTAATTTGGTTTATGCTTCTAATTCATCTTGTAACAATTTCAATTATTGGAAATCTATTTTTGGTATCTACAGTAAAATTATAATGTAATTATTTTAATTATGTCGAAGAAAAATATATGATCTCTTTTAAACAAACGTAAGAGAAATGCAAAAGAAGTTTCAAATGAAGATACATTTATGTCGAAAGCGATAGCCTCAAATGGAAACAAATAGCACTTAGACGGCCTACAAAAATCATGTTTATATCTTCTTTTTCAACATGTTTTTAATTTGAATATCTAAGAAATACATAGCCGAATTTATTATTTGTGCGATTTGATGATTAAGTGTGCAGAATAGTCCGATCGACAAAATTTAAAATAAATTCCAAGCTAAAAACATTCGGTGGTAGAGGCGGGTAGGATAAATCATCGCGAGAAGTTTACCATATTTTTGAAACAAAGGTCAAAATGAAATTACACAGTTTTTAAATAATTTTTATTAATTAAGATTATCGGAATACATTATTTTTTTCACTTTTAAAGGCAAGTGATGAGTGCCTAAAAATCTACTTGTAATGCTTTTTGTTGACACTGTCGATATATACGTACGGATCTATAGAACACCCCATGGTACTTCGACCAGGGAAAGGAAGTGAGATTTCGTCTTCTCTTCTCGTAACCGCGATTGACTCCTGTTTTCTCTTTCTCCTCGGTACTCACTCCATGCTGGAACGATCAAGGCCGAGAATAAGACCAAAATCGAAACGAGAAAGAGTGCGCGAGAGAGAAAGAGAAAGAGAGAGAGAGTAAACGAAAGCTATTGCTCGCTCTCGTTGGAGCGCGCAGTCACCCGATTCTGCATCGAGATTTCGTTGCACGATCTCGCATTGACGGGCGGGAATATAATCCTGATGGATGCGAGGTGCGTCGTCGCGGAATGAGCTCGGAACCGGATTTAGATATCGGGAAATTTTATTCACGACGTTATATCTGCGGAGATAAACTCTCTATAGTCCTCCGGTCTCTCTCTCGCGTAACTTCGCGAATCTTTCTCATTACAAACACTTTCGTGCATATCAAGTTCATTCGTTTACGAATGGATCAATGCAATAAGATCGACACGTTGGCAGTGAAAGTATTCGAATCCACTTTCTCATTGCAACGGTTGTACGCGTCGCGATAGAAAGCGAGCGTATATACCTGTTGTATATTTGTATTCATATACCTTTTTAGGTGATTTATTACTTCTGGTTACAAATTTACACGAATTTAATGTGTACAAAATTATATGAATACGCAAATCATATTATACATAACAAAGAACAACGTATTACATGAAAACTATAGTTATATGTATATAGTTACATAACTTTGTTTTAGTCTCTGATATTACTCCAGAAAATTAGACGGGTACTCAATAGAAAATTATTTATAATTTTATACCATCGTACTCTACT